GCTCCGAAAGCCAGCTCCCCAACTGTTCCCTAATTAGGCTGTCAACTCACGGTTCCCCCTTGTCCTCTCTGCAGGATTCCTAAACAGAACTCCTTAGGATCACGCTTTTAATCCGATGGTTCATCCCAGGATGGCCCGTGAGGAAGATTGACTGCTCCATTCCATAGTACAAATTGGCTCACTGCGTCTGAGGGGGGCTCACGATTAGCTAGCCACCCCACGTCAGGTTGGCATCCACCCCTCACGCAACCAGGGGCCACTTTTCCTTTCTTTTTGATTTACAAAAAAACATTTATCCTAGACCTCTTCCAAACCCTCCACTTTTTTTCTTTTCTTGGGGGGCGAGATTTTACACTTCATTCGAAACGTTCTACAAGGCCCAAAGTGGCACCCAGTAGTTGCTGCCAAGTCGTGCCATCTTTTTTCTCTTAACCCTTAAGCCGCTCTTAAGCTCCTTTCCTCGTTTTTTAGACCCCTTCAGCCCCACCCTCCCAGAGGGCCGCGCACGACGGCATTCTCCCAAAGGAGAGCGCGGCAGATGACTTGAGCCAAAATGGCCAAACACGGTTTGTTCTTATTCCTCTCCTTTTTCTTCCTCTTCTTCTTCTTCTGTCCATGTTTCTTCTTCTATGTGCCACGCGCGTCCTGGTGGAGCCAGGGCCGCGCTGGGGCTACGCCCCAGGCACAGTTCCCTGGTAGGTCGGTCGAATAAAAATTCCACCAATAGGGATTTCCTGTATCATTCCCCCCCCTTCTTCTTCTATCTTCCCACCCCATTCGGTGCATCACATAGGAGAAACTGCTGAGCCGAGGAAGGTTAAGGAGTGATTTTCCCAAGCGGGATACTTCAACGTTCCCTATCACTCCTCCCTGCGTCTCGCTGCTGAAGGTGCTGAAAGCACGCATTGACATGTCACATCAATATACACACTGCGCTCCCCGGAATCCTCAGTTTCAGGAGCTCCGCACTACATTTCCACTTTCCTGAATTTGCGCATTTGTCATCTTCAACTGCGAATTTCCCGCTCCCCCACGTTAAACAACTACAATAACGAAAACAAAACCACACGCCATAGTACTGCGGGTTCTGCGGAATCCCTGCATGGATTGCTACTGGTTTCAATTTTCCAGCCTCATGAGGAGTGGAGGAATCCTTGCCCCCCAATTTCTGGCACGCATGCCGAATTCCCTATATCCTTAATCTGAATAATTGCTAGCTCAGCTGTGTTCAGTCGGTTCAGTTGGATCGTTATGCACAATCTGCATCCATCTCTCACTGACATAAACTCATTCCGCACCATCGCTTCTCGCATACGATCCTCCTTCCTGATCTCTGTCGCTGTTCGAAGTCCTACTGAACTTGATCATCAGCGCTTGCAGCGCTACATACGTCCTGTCCTGTTCTCTCCCAGGGTTTCGTCCTTCTTTTGCAAGCGTCTTGTTAGCGGCTAGCTCCATGACGTCTTGTTCTTCCTAATTTGTTTACCCGTCTTGCCTCCCTGTATTGCTTTTGCGCCTTTCAAGTTCTCATCCACATAACAAGGTACGCTAACTGCTCCACCTCCTCGTCTTCCTGCTCTGCTTGCGTTGCCGGGCCTTCTGTTTGCTTTCTCGGGCGTGGGATTCCCACCGATTCTGCAGGCGGTGTGTTCCAATGCCATTTCCTGTCGCCTCTATCCTCCTCCGAATCGCTTGCGCTGACTTGTACTGGAGGCGTTCGACTTTGTTCTTCGCTCTCCCTGCTCAGTGATGAATCTCCCTTTGGCCCTACGGTTTAGTTCCTGTCCCCCTAGGGTTGTTCTTCTTCTGGTTGGCGCCTTAGGGGTCAAGTTCTCTCGTTTACCCTTTGGAAACTCTCCGGAGGTGGAGCTGCAGCAATCGGTGGGCCGCTAGCATCTACAACATATCTACAGTGATGAATCTGGACGAACTCGGATAGAGGATGCCTCACCTTCTTCCCGGGCGTAGCGATGACCTTCTTTGTGGGGGTTCCCTGCTGCTCCGCCATCGGGATCTCGTTTTCCTTTGTCCGCGGCTGCGTTCCTTGCTGAGGATGCTGCGCATCTCCTCCAGTTTGTTCCTCATTGTGCTCTTTATGCTCTTTCTTCATGTGGGCCTGCTCATTCTGTCTTTTCCATCCTTCCTTCTCCAGATTCACTACTGCTAAACGATTGCTGTGTCATCGACTCTCGTGCTCGCTGGTGGTGGGACCTTTGTCTTCACTGGTGGCTGACTGTTGGCTTCGCCGTCTCCCTCCTTCGCAATCTCCTCTGGACGAGCTTTTTCTGTTCTTTCTTCCCAGCCGAGGATTGTCCCTTCGGAGTGTTTCCTCCTCCACTAGTCCGCCTGCTGTCTGAAATTCCCCAATTCAGGATTTCAGTCACCATGTCGGGGCTCCGCTCGTCATGGTCTGCCTCCTCTATCTGGGGCAGCCTCTTTTGTTGCTGCGTGACGCTTCCTCAACCTCCGGTCTCCGCTCCTCACTCTTTATGTCCTCCTCTGCTGAGTTTGGTTTTCTTTTCCCGCTGCTTGCGCTTTTTCCTTTCTCCCATCTTCTTCTTTTACCTCGCCAGCTTTTCTCCTCTTGCAAGCTCCTTGTAGTTGTCTCTTCTTCCTGGCATCCTTTTGGCTGGTTGAGCTCAATGAACTGGTAGAGGAGCTCGTAGATGATGCAGCTGTCTGCTGGTTTTCTTGGCCACTCTCTTGTTGTTGCAGCGCTAGTTCTAATAGCAGTGTGTGGTGGCCTCTTACTCCACCTTTGGCGGCTTTTTGCATTTGTGCAAGTGTGGCCCCTGCCACGAATTTGGAGCAGCCTTTCTTGCAGGAGTGCGATACCTTCATGCCAAGACCGCATACCAGACAACCCTTCTTGATCTTCCTCTTTGCTCTTGGTTTGGCTCCTTGCTCCCCTTATGCCAGCTTTGGTTGCGGTGCTGGTGGTTGTCGAGCCGGGTGCATCTTCTTTGTCTTCCCTCTCCCCCTTTGCCAGCTTTGACCCTTTCTTGTTCTTCCCAGTCGTCACGCTGCTGGCCGCTGTAGCTCGGTTTTCTTCTTCCTGCTTTTCCTGGGTCGTCCCTCTACCTGTGTTACCAGCTTTGATTGCACCCTTTGCCCGCGAAGACACACTGGATGACGCAGGCTTTTGTTCCCTGTGTATACTGGGCTCGTCCATATGTATTCCGGCTCCCACTGGTCGTGGTGTGCGGCAAGGATGCATGGCTATCACTTCCCTTTCTCCGAAATGTTGAACCTCACTCAAATCCAAGCTAAGAGAAATTCCGCGCTGAGCATCGACTGTTGAAAAGCGCCTGGATTTCCTTAGTGCCGCAAATCAGAAATCAGGAAATACAAGTTGAACACAGCTACAGAAATCCCAACGCCTGAACTCAGGTTGTGCTCGGCTTCGTAGTTGTCCACGGAGGGGGCTTATCCCTCAGACAAGTTGAGGATCACCGATTGGTCCACCTTCATTGCCCATGCTTTCACCTACTGGGTCTCCAGTCCCCTGCCCTTAAAACAATACCGATCCACTCCTCCGTGAAGAGGGACTCAAACTTAAGCCAAGTCTGATCTCAAAATTTTGCGGTATATGGTCCATGTTTCTTCTTCTTCTCACAGCTCCACCCTCCCCTCAGGGAGGGCTGCGGCGTTGGTCCATGTTTCTCTCCCTCTCTCTCTTCTTCTTTTATGGGTTAGCTCTGCTGGGGCTAGGCCCCGACCACGCGCACAGTTCGGTTGTCCGCAATCCTCAAGAGGCCCGGAATAGTGTTGCATTCAGAAAGAACATTACAGCCCCTTGCTTGCTTGCTTGCTTGCTTGCTTGCTACGGGCTAAGTCTACCTCTACAGGTAGACCGGGGCACTGCTCCGAGCCCAGCGCACGCGGCAGTCTCAGTCTAGGTCGGCACTGGCGAGGACCGGAGTACCGAACAATCAGCCAGGCAGCAGTGAAGAACAAAGCAACAGCAACCATAGCTACCGTTACCTGCAACTCCTGCTCTGGACAATTGGTCCTCCTCCCTACTCTAGCCAGCTGTGATACTGCATGTCGAGAGCGCATTCCCCGATTACCCTTCAGCATCCACCAAAGCAACGGCAACAGCAATTAGAGACCACGATTTGAAAAGACAAACTAGTGCTGGGGTGCCTCTCAGTCATTGCTGCAGTGGCTCGCGCCGCTGGCCGGTTCTACCATGCTGCACTGTTTAGCCACTCTCTTCAAGAGGGTGGCCATCACCAGTTTTTAGCAGCAGGTAATGACATGCATGAACAGTAAAACATACACCACACCAAGCAAGCACTGCCCCTGTTCTGGGTAGCCATGCGTATCAAATGCAGAACTTCCAGCTCCCCTCCACTAACTGCGGAAAACAGCGTAACTATGTTCGGCCCCCCCCCCGCAGGGCTTACCACTGTTGCAGTCTTCTTGTTACGAGGGATCGCCCTTGGCTGTTTTGTCTTGCCTTCCAGGCGTTTGCACAACAGTACAGGGAGCGGTTGTTCTCATGAGGCACGCACCAAACCATGTTGCCTAGTTCGCTACGCATAAAAACGCAGCTAATATAATCCCCCTCTAAGGCCCAGCGGTCTGCTCTGCCTCCAATGCAGCTTATGACCTTTCACCACGGCCGTCGCCCCTGGTGCTAAAGTGACCAAAAGTAAACTTGCCCTGCAACGCAAAACCACTGACCTACCACATTACAGCCCCTCGCCCTCTTTCTTTCAGGGCTGCTCTGTCTCTCTCTCTCTCTCTCTTCTTCTTCTTCTTCTCACTCTGCCCCCCTCCCGAGGCAGTGCCCCACAGAGGCCAGGCGTCGCGCAACATCAAGCCGGGCCCCGATTACCGACCATGCGCAGCGCGTGCAGACTTCAGGATCAGATTAGCTGACCAGCCCCGGTGAACATAGAGTCTAGTACAACTACTCCCTTACACGCTGCCCATGAACTTCATCGCTACCGACCTGACTCTCTCTCTCTCTGTCTCTGTCCAGCTCTGCCTCTCTAAGAGTCCTGAATGCCGACGTAGAGCCAGACTGACAGGACCCCACCCAAGCGGCCAATAATTCTGCATTCAATCGTATAGTAGACATCCTGCAGCAGGCCACTTAAACAAGGCATTGCAGAAGACTTTCGGCTCCTCCTCGTCAGTGTCAATGATTTGTTTGTACCTCAGCTCTCCGACATTTCAAGTACACTGCAAATTTAGATACGCTGGCAGTTAGCATTTCCCCTGTCCGAATTTGAAACTCAGTTGCTCATTGATCTCCATGAGGTACTGTCGGATGCTCTCTTGGTCGGACGTGCAGAAATGCACTGGGAGCCCACGGAACTTCTTCCCACGCTTTATGGGAAAGCTGTCCTCCATGGAACATGCAAAATACCAAACAAAATAAGATCACAGTAGGACAGACATGCATGAAGCTCGTTTCCGCTGATAGCTTGCAGGGTGCTTTCCAGGTTTCAAAACAGCATCCAAGCTCATGCCCATCCGAGGGCGGAAACTGTGCGCAACTTGCTTACAGCAGGATGTATCGCATGCATCTGGGATATCTCTAGTGGCCTGTAGGGTACATCAGCACAGCAGAAGTGTGATATCCAGTTGCGTTCATGTATGGCGTCGACAGCTTCACTCTGCCATTCAGAACAGGGTCTTGAATGGCGCAGCCACGAAAGACAGTTGAATTACCATCGTGACATTATTCACTTTGACATTTGATGCCCCGTTCCTTCACAAAGTGCAAAAGCCTTGGAGGATACATTGGGAAGTTTTGAGAAGCAGGCATGACAGCTGCAGCGACGTGCCCACGCGTCATAGCATCTCCAGAACTCACTCTTCACATCATCCTCATCATCATCAGCATGACCATCATCATCATCATCATCATCATCATCCTCGTCATCGTCGGCGTCGTCGTCGTTGATGAGCAAGTCACCAACTCAGGGCTCACATCATATATGCCTCAGCCTTATATCCTGCACCTACGCATGTGGCCAAGAGCATCACGGTCTGCAATCCATGTGGGATTCCGAACACTGAGTGGGCTGAGGTTCATCAGAAGAAGCAGGTAGTGAAAAGGCAAGAAAGCCGCGGAAAGGAGCATATGGACAGAGAGAGAGAACTTATCAGGTCGCTGGTGCTGCATTCCAAGCTGTGAGAATCATGGTCATTATGAAGCCGTCAGGCGTGAGCGGTGTTAGCTGACTGCACGTGACATGACAGTGGCTCAAACTGCCGGTCCTCTTTTTTTTGGAAATCCTGGCACAAACGCTCGAGTGACTTCCATAGGCGCTCCTGCTCTTTGACATAGTCCTGCCGACAAGTGATGATGTCGAGTGCCAATTCTTGTCTTGCACGCTCACCTTGTAGCCGCTGTCAAAGAAAGGAGAACCATGGCGATTCCAGATTCGGAGGTTCAGAATCCGACCTGAGCTGCCAGCTGCAGGGCCAGCCATGGCTAGCCCAGCAGCAGCTGCAGGTGACCCTGTGTCTGGGCTGTCTGAGGTCGCGCACCGACAAAGTTGTAAAACCTCAGTTAACGCACCACCACAAGCATCACTTCATCTGAAAGGCACTTTCTGAAGCCCAGTTCACCAACCCACAAACAAGGCATGGGACTTCTGCTGGTCAGTCATCTGCTCCCGGGGCATATCGTTCGGAATCTCGCGCAATGCATCGAGCGCCCTGCTGAAAGAGCAATCAGGTGCAAATTGTTCAAAGCTTGAAAGGTGCAAACAGCATGATGCTCGGGCCTGGCAGCGATGGGACTGTCCGGGTCAATCTGTCTCCACAGCTCGTGAATCTCTAGGAAAATTCGAAGCTGCTGCATCAACTCCTGGAAATCAAAACTGAAGCTCAACAATTGACGGCTGGGATGCGAGGTGGGCATACCTCGTTGTGGTCGAACATGGTGTCCATGCCCTTTTTGCCCCTGTACAACTGTAGGTTCTGCATCATCTCTGTACCTTGTTACAAGCGAAGCTGCAAAGACCCACAAATGCGGAGCTTTCATCATGAATGAACCCTCGTGGTTGCCGCCAATGATCGCAAGTCATCCTGCAGTTCGTCAATAATGGATGGGCGGAGTTCCGGCTGCACAGAGACATTGGGGCAAATTGGCTGAAAGTGCAAAGTCCTTGGCCCGAGCATGAATAGAAGCTACCGCGTCTACAACTGAAAAGCCAAAAGTCTTCTCATCTTCATCGTTGAGGAAACACTCCCAAGGAGGACTATCCGCGTCCGTGTCATCAAAGTCCTTGGTCTGCTTCCCTCATCTCAGCCTACAAGCAAACACCAAGGCCTGTATCGGCCAGAAGGTTATGATTGTCATGTCTGGAGGCGTCCCACATGGTCCCTGCTTAAACGCCTCAACCTTCCAAGGCTCCCTGAACAAACTCCTTGTTAATTGTAAATCAGAATTGTACATCTGCAAGTTACGAAAGGATCACGCATAGATCACAAAGGAAGCAAGCTGTTCCACGAAGATCTTGCTATTCTGCAATTAATGCAGGCTAGCAGGCTCTACACAGTCCTACGACGTGGTGTGTCTATGTAGCCATCATCGAAAGGGCCAAGACCTTACTGCAAGCAGGGTTCATACGAAATGCAAGCTGGATGATGGTTTTGACGATTTGCCCACGCATTCTTGTCGTTAAAAACCACCTCTGCACGCAAACTCACCACACACAAGCAAGACCGCAAGCATGACAGAACCCAAGCAAATCCAGAAATCCAGGCCTCTATCGAATCATATGGCAGCCATGTCACCAAGGCATCCTCCTTCAGGTTCAAAGAGAGTGGTAGGCAAGGCAAAAGCAGAGCCACAATGACCTGCAGCATCTTCCTTTTCGGAGCAATCGGAAGGCCCTTGCAGCCATGGGAAGTGACTTCATTCTGCTCAGCTCTGCTCTTGCTATCTCTTGCTCAAGTACCATGTAAGCCAGCACAAAAGCGCGCCTCACGCTGCTCGATGAGCTCTCGCTTCAACCTTTCTCGACCTGGCTCCTCATCCTTCTTCTTGCCCTTTTCTGACCGCATTTTAGGTTTGGGCCTCCATGTCAAGGCAGGAAGTTGGCAGACACATGCAATTGTCCAGGCAATGGGTCCCGGGCATACGTCCTACGGTCGGAAGGCTCTCCATATCTTCCAGATGAACTCGTGAATCTTCAGCCTCCCCTAACAGGGCAGCACGCAGAAACAACATGTTGCCACGCGCATCACACAGGAACCTTCCCACTGCTGCGTTCCCAGATGTGCATCTTCGTCTTGCTCGTCGTCCTCTTCTTCTTCCTCGTTCTCCTCTGCCTAGACATACTGCATTCGTGGAGCAGAACCAGACGACAAAAGGTCTCAAATCAGTTGACAGAGGCATCTTTCAATGGCTGGAAGGCCCTTCCTATCAAGACATGCCAGCCTTATGCCGGAGAGTCTTCATCCCACATAACCGTAAGATACGGTAAGCACGTCTATCCACCAAACGTACTAGCTGCGGTCACTTTCAAGCAACAGTTTGATGCGGATATTCGCCCCACCTTTGCCACCGTCTCGGTTTTCCTTCTTTTGGCCTTCTTGGGGTCGTAGCGATTTGGAAGGTGGAAGATCTGCCGGCTGCACGGCTCCCAAAAGGTGACCCAACCTTTGTGCCGCGTCATCACCCACGTATGCTCAATGAGCTGGTCTGCTTTGTCAATCGTTTGGACAGGGTCTTTGGAGTAGACAGTACCCTTGACCACATAAGCATCCTCTTTGCAGCCAAGCAGGAGGGAGCAAAGCAAGATAGAATGATCCTGCGGCGCTCCCTTCCGCCGTGCCAGGACATACTCAGGGTCCTTCCAGCCATCATAAGGAATCAAGCCAGTGCGTGCCTGGCGCTGTGTGATTTCAAAGGATAAGCAGTGGACCCACTCGAGCATCTTTGCAGGGAAAGTCCACTCCTCCGGCACGATGATCGGCGAAACAAAGGCCATAAGTGGTGTCTCCACTCGGGTCAACGGATGGAGGCTGATGCACGGAAAGCGTCGCAATGAGTCGGCAGTTTGCATCATATTCTCCTCTTTGGGCTTCTTGGCGCCAATTGAATCTGGGAACGGCAATGCATAGTCTTCGGACTTTTGCCTGTTCTTGTTGGTCCAGTCTTCCTCTTTCTTTGCCCACACGGACTCTGCATCAGCTTCCTGCACTTCATCCTCGAATCGGAGAGTTTCCGCCCAGTCTGGGTAAAAGTAAGCCTCGAAGTGAATCAAAGCAGCATCCTTATTGGCCAACGCCGATTGCCCTAATGCAGTCTTACTCCCATCATAGACGCGCACGGACCGGGGCTCCTCGTACCACTGGTTGTGCCTTTCCTGTTTCTCCTCTAGCTCGTTTTCCTCCTCCTCATCGTCCCTCTTCTCTGTTTTTAGTGGGCCAAGTAACGTGCGCTTTTGGGTCGCCCTCACATTCAGAATGTCACCTAAGGTGACCTGGCATCCACCTAGGCAATCTGCAGACGTCACGTCGTCGTCCCAAACCTGTATTTGCACGAAGCCTTTGCTCGTCAGCTCGTATTTCAGGATTGTGTCTTGGTACTTCTTTTCTGCCTGAGAATGGTCACCAAAAGTAGTGGAATGGCGCACCACCGGATCACTAGAAACATCTGCACCTTGGACCCCATCCGCATTTCTGGAAACACTACCTCGGCTCTTGCATGCTCATGCTCTCGCAATGCTGCGGTCGGAAGAGCATTCCAGTGCAGGCGGGACGCACGCACCGGGAAGTAGAAGCTCTGGTTGAAAACAGGTCTCAAAGATTGTTTGACCACCGGGGAGAGCATGACCATGTTGTCCCACGTGCACCGCAAGTATGGGTCCTTGACTAAAAGCTTGAATGGCCCCGCATGAGCCTCCTGAACGCACCGACCCTTGTACAGCAAGCCTACTACTAATTACGTTACCAACGCTCACAGAACCCATTCGTTCATTCGCTGTGCCGTAGTTTACACGACATAGACCCCAAATTAGAAAAAGAATCATGACAAGGACACCCAGAAAGGGACGCCTAGGTTTAGGGAACACTCATATAGCGCGTTTTTTTTTTGACGAACTGCCATTCGAGGTGGAAAAAGCAGCTGTCTGCAGCCGGCATGCCGAACTGCTTGTGTCAAAGTCCGCCACTGGCAGCGCTTCACATTTCTTGATGCCTGACAAGGCAGAGTAGTCCTGATGTGCCTGTTGCATGGGCAAACTGCTGACAAGCAACGTACAACCAAATAGCGTTCATATCGATTCAGGTGTGACACCTTGGCTCTTCAGCACATGGGCAAGCATAAGCAGCTTCCTATCACACACAAGAACCGTGTCAGACAGACTGCACAAACCATGGCGTCTAAACAGAGTGACCGCAACTATGCCAGTGCATGGTGCGTTCGGTCAAGTGGCAGTGGTGGCAGTCTTAAGCTGCTCTGGACGATTGGTGCGGAAATCCAGTTCAGGCTCCTAGTTTGGATGCAGCTAGATTTGCAAAGACTGGCAAAGCCTCAAGCAGCATGCCTTCATACCTTTCGACCGCAGAATACACTTCACATTGCCATTGATGTCGCCAACAATGTACCGATCATGATCCGAAATGAACCTCTTGACCTTCACAGGCGACATGCTGATCTCGTCTTGTCCGGCTGCTAATTGCAAAGCGGGTCCACCAAACATGTTGTGTGGTTGGACGTCTCCCCCCAATTCCGGCCTTCCCTTGAAACACAGACATGTCAAGAACCTGCAGAGGCTCAAGATACAGCACTTAAAAGGCATGCGAGGCACTTGAGAAGATGTGCGGATGCACTGAGCAAGTCGCTGAGGTCAAGTTTAGAAGACAGCGGCCGAGGACACGGTGTGGTTGTGCAGGCGCATGCTTTTCTAGTTTTTGTACAGTCCTGGGCGTGCGTCCACTGCAAGGGATCGCGCACCTTGCAAACTAAAGATCATTTAAAGATGCTGCCCAGCGTCGCATTGTCCGCAAGGAAGGCTGGTGGCTTGCCAGTAAGGACAGAAACGATGAAGTAAGAGTTCTGCAGGTGAGTGCGAGTACCTCGAAAAACAAACTTCCCGCAGTTTGGCCAGAAGAAGCGGCCATCTTGCTGGTTCCATTCCTCAGACGGCCACCCACCGCAATCATTATCATTCGAGTTGCCAAATCACTTCCAAGTCTCCACTGTTTGAGAAGCAGCTCCCCTCCCAAGATATCGCCGCTGCCCCGGCAACGTTCGCCGATCCTGCAACTGCGTCAAAGTGTCCGGCCGGGATTAAGCCCCGTCAACACGTTGTTCCTTGTGCTCCTGTACCGATGCCCTCTGCACTCCACTGACTCAAATGGCGTCTGCGCTCGAGACTGCAAGACTCAACAAAAAATGCCTGCACATACAAACATGACAACATTGGGTGAACAGAGCCAAGGGTTCATGGATAAGCCGACGATGACTATCAGAGTAGTCCATTGCTACGGAGCTGGAAATTTGGGAGACAAGGAGATAATCTCACCAAACTCCGAACCAACCATTTCACTGACAGTTTTCCAAAGTTTTATTCCCGCCGCTGATGTGAGCCCCTTGGAAGGCGCAAACCTCAGAAATGTGAGCATCTTCTCTTTGCCTTCCTGCTGCCCTCCCGAGCTTTGGAGGTTCTTCGAAGCCCAGTTCTGCTCGTATGTTGGTGCTTGGTGATTGGCATGCAAGGGAGGAGCTTGGCTCTGTAAACGTTCCCTGTTACCTGCTACCTGCATAGTGGGAAGAATTGGCGGAAACCCCGCCCTGCCCACCAAAACGTGATCAATTTGTCTGTCCATCCATAATTATGCATAATTGGCATGCCGGCTGTCCCGCGGCATGGTGAAGGTCAGGCGCTTTCGTTCTTCCTTCATCTTCTTGTACTCGGGACTTGCCCGGCTCAACTCCAAAGTCCAGTTCTCACCTGATGTCTGCCATCGCCCATGAAGCCCACATGATCAGCAGATGGTCTCTCTAGACGCTGAGGCTGTCACAGAACAAGTCGAAGTCGAAGATCTCTTCAAGGTTTACAGTACATCTGTACAGCGCCACGTCAGCCACAGACTTTGCCTTCTTTTTATCAGCCATCTGCTTCCCTTGGAATACATTTGAAGCTCTGATATATTTGATACGAGCACCATGAAATGCAGCCGTGGGCTAAATTTGGCATCCTTCAAGTTAGTTGATTTGTGGGTGCGCGTGTTGAGCCATTCCCCTGCTCGGATAAACTTTTAAACGCAAAGATCGCCAGGAGGGGATCATTGATCAGTGCAAGTTTATTCATCCAAAGCCCAACACTGTCGGACAATAAGCTGATATGCAAAGCTTGCAGTTGAGATGCGTTTCTTGCAGCCCTGGTGTGGTGTCGGTGGCTCTCACGCACTTTGGGATTTGGATTGGCTGCTAGCAACAACATGAGTTTCCACGATTTGAACTGTAAGCATGCTCAACTGTTCCATGGAGTGCAGATGACACATGGAACTGATGATTCCCAGCCCTCAACACCCCATCTCACCCGTCTCCCCCGCTTTCTGCCATTGACTGCCATTGAATCGGCATGGCTTGCTTGCAGGGCTTAGTGGACTTTTATAACCTGTGGTGGACTCACATCTAAGTCCAGTGTCAACTGGAGACTCACAATTGGGCAATGCAGCCAGCGTGCGAGAGAGCTTCCTCAAGATGCGGAGTTCCATGTTGGGATCACGATTTGCGATCAGAGACAGCTTCTGCTTCTTAAGACCGAAGTACTCATTGAAGGTCCAACAAGAGACCCTCCACATGTCCACCTTGACCACATGCTTGTCCAACTCCTGGCCGCCAAGCTCCAGCTTTTGCTAACATGAACGGACATCGTGAAACAGACGAGGCAAAGCGCTGCTAAGTACTTGGGAGCCACCATCTCAGTAACGATACAAGCACAAACGGGCTCGGACCTTGTAGGACAAGGCGAAAGTCTTCCTCTCGTACATCAGTATGGGGTTGTCGGCGGTGAAAACTTTGCCCTTCTCCAACGTAAAGATTGAGGAGAATTTCGTTTGCAAGCGCACCTGGTAAGCTTGGGAGTCTACTACTGTGTTCTGCTGCCCCGCAATCACAAAAAGAAAATTGCAGACTCATGACTCGATTTCGGTGCTTCTTGGGATTTTCGCTTCCAAGCGATACCGTCCAGAACAGCTTCAGAGTCTCCACTGTCACATTCTCGAAGCCCCTGATAGAAAAGCTCAGTTCCCACCATCGCGTTCTGTCCATGGGCTCTCTCGCGTCTTCCGGATCATCCTCCGAACGCATGCATCGCATGCTGTCAACAGGAACAGAACTGTGCGTGCAGCGGAGGCCTCTGCCTTCCCCAACTTTGGGAGACGGAATCTCAGCTTCCTTATGAAATACTGACAAACGAGCTTTGATCAAGGGACTTGGTGCGAACTCCTTGCTTCTTGCACGTATTCTAATCATGCAACCAGCAAAAAACGAGCTTCCGATTCTGAGCTGCACCTGCTTTGGGGCCAGTAGCTGCATCACCTCAAAGGTGCTCGATCTGAGAACTCATGACAAAGCTTCGAGACTGAAGGTTGCCCACTACAGGAGTCTGCACCTTCAGCCTCCGGTTCTTCTGGTGCCGGGCCAACTGGCTCAACGAGTCCTTCACCACCTCGGGTCTTAGCATGCCACACTTTCACGCCAAACTTCTTGTCTGCAAATTTGAAGCAAAGGTGTTGCCAACATCTGGGGCCAGGAACTGTTCAAAAGACACAACATAGGCTCTTGCCATGACTTCTAAGTTGCGTTCACTGAACGCCTTGCCGCCCGGTTTAGACACAGACATGCAGAGGGCAGATTGACAAGAAAGGTAAGTTCGCACAAGGCGCTTGCCTCGCTCAAGCATGCTAGATATACAATATCTGGGCTGGCGAAAGACAGGAAAGGATGAGAAGGCACTACCAGCAAACCATTCTACAACCGGCTGTTCTAAATAGGGCAAGGTCTACTTCATGAATGCCGAGCGACCATCTGCCTCACCGCCCGCTTCTAGATCAAGAGCAGGATCTTTCGCCTGATAGTTCCAGTTCGAACCAAGGTCTGATGCAGCAAATCTTCCAGCAAGTTCAACCCCAGCCTGCACAGGATCTGTCTTCCTAAACCTGCTGAGGAAGCCCATAAGTTGAATGATGATAAATTTGCTTTGAGGAACAGCAATAATAGTGTTTTTCATGGGGCCCTCACAGAGTTGACCATAAGCCTGCATGTTTTCCCTTGTCTTGAATACTGAGATGCAACAAATATCCATGTCTATGCTGGGGCCACATCGGCGATGGGAAGCACCACCCTCAAGACCACTCAGTGCACTTGCCAAGCAATTCTGGAAACTTTGGTGACCAGCAGCTGCTCACACCCTATGGGGGCTGCTGGTATTGTAGCAAAATGTTGCACAGCAGACTCTGTTTTCTACTGCTGCCGAAAACTGCTGCTCAGGAGGCAGCTCTGTACAGAGCGAACGAACTCACGAAATATATCAGTGTGTTCATTTCTGTGGCAGGCCTAGCTTAAAGTCATCAAGTGAAAGGGGCAACATTCCAGGCACGTCGTAGACTTCTTTGTCGGGCCTGCACTGGCACTGAATGCATGCCGAAAGCACCGGAAGTCAAAAGTCTCCCTTTTGGGCCTGAGCCTTGCAAGCATGGCCTCAGTAGCTCCCACCACGGGCGAGCCATGCCAAGAGATGCCCGCTTCCGCAAGTGCCAACAAAAATCAAACTTCCCGAACGGCACCATGCCACTGAGGACATGACTCCACAGTCACGGAGGCCACCAACCATGTACCCTTACATGTCAAAGTCTTGAGGGTCCCCATGTTACACTCTGATAAGCAGTTCATAAAACCATGAACACGGCAGCAGAATTGCTGTGTTGAAAGCAACTTGCTGAAGAACGCTTCGTGCTCTCTCTGCCAAGCTTCTCGTTCTGCCGCGGTACCATGGGAGCAGCGGATTTCTAGTGCGCGCCTGATCGAGGATTTGATTTTGCCCAGCGGGCTGTCGCTGCTGTTCCGAAAAGGGTTCGTGTTTCCAGCTACCAGCAAGCACGAACTGGAGTGATGCCAGGAAAGCTTTACGCGGAGATGCGCCTACAAGCTGTGAGGACTGGCAAACTCTGTTCCCTACCTGATGGCTGCCATATCTGCTGCGCTTAGGGGAATGACCAAATTATTGCTTTGCTGGTGTGCCTGCTGCCTTCTTCTAGTCGCTCTGCGAGGGTGCTGTGGCTGCTTGTCTTCCTTTGGCATCTGTTTGGGTCCAGTTGACTCTTGCCAGATTACCATTACCAAAAATGCGGTGCTCATTAAGCACATGTTCGGGCAAGTGCGGTATCCGTCCAGTGGAGGCAACAGCACCGCAGCCGCATTCATCTTTTGAAGCTGGGCATCATCTGCCCGATGCTAGCCGTTGCGAGTGTTGGAGGTTGCTAGACATCACTCCTATGCGGCATTCTTTGCAGCATGATGGCATAGGGTTTGCTTGCCATGGCTCATTTACAGTTTTTAATTTGCCAGTGATCGGTAAATCACTCCAGGATTTTTCGGCATTTCACCGGCCAGCGCAAGGCACAAGGTCTGAAAAAGCCTACGGCAGAAACAGTAGGGCTCAGGTGGTGCTAGCCATGTCTCGTCTGCAAATTAAAGAGCGAGCTTGTCTTCATGATATTTCCTAATGCCACAGCGTGCTTGCTTGCGACAGTTCTGGCTTCAGCACCAAGTTGCACTCGTTTGGTCATCATGCTTCAGAATCTTACAAAAGAGGACGTGCATGTGCGCATACAGGTCGGACGGCAGCGTGCGGGAACTATCCAAAAAATGAGACAGCACCCCCACATACAATTCCGTGTCACATAAATCTACCAGCTGCCTGTTTGTTTGAGGGCGGGCCTTGAACATCTCAAATGTTTTGCCAGCTCCACTGTTCAAAGGATCTGTGGCGGCCACTGCACCTGCAACACAAATGAGTGACTTGGAACCTCGAGCTTGCACCAGCGGGAACACCATGAACTTCAGCCCCAGTCCGGCACACACCGCGGCCACATCCGCCCGCGCCACATTTCCCACATATGTGTCGCCTTGATTAAACCTCACACAGCCACAGACACCTACCCTGCAGACCGTAACTGCGCGTTAAATGATGATGGCTGTTGCGTCGCTCCGAGGGCGGGACTGCAACTCCAGAAAACCATCCGCAGGGTCTGTTGTCAATCCGCCAGGTCTCACCTGAAAACCCAAGCAGCTACAATTTGACCAACGTTGCGTGACATGGCATAGGCCCGCACAATCGTGTACGATGACCTGCATGCGCAAGGGAAGCATCACTAGTTTGTCTGCCCAATGTGTTCGGCGCATTGAGCAGCTCGCGAGCTTCCTTGCAGAATCTCCTTCATCCGATTCTCGCCCTCATACGTTGTTTGCAAATTGCAACGGATTGTCAACAGCTGCTCTGCCAGATGTCTATGAACCTGCAGCTTCTCGTTGAGGACCCCCGACCCAATCCTTGAGAAGAACATGCTGCAAAGGAAAACTCGCTTACCTGATTTGGCATGTTTTTTCGTCCCAAGCTTGCCCAACTCAGCTGGGACCCTGGCGTGTTTAAAAGGATGCCAACAGGAGCATACGGTCTGGTCACCGACCCACTGCTGACCACAATTAACCGATCAATCCCTTCTTGGACGACCACCTGACAGCGCTGCTCAAGCAGAAGCATGACATGGCACAAGCAAAAACACGTCCCCCTAGAAGCATGGAATGCAAGACTAGGAAATAAACGAATCAAATTTGCCTTCGCGCAGTTCACGAGACCTTCCTCAGCATTTGCCATGCTTTGGATTCTGCGGTGGCCCTGTTACGAATGACTGGAGATGCTCACGTTGTCGACGTCCTTTGGCTGTGTTTTCCCCCGCGCATAGGCCGCCTAGCTTGCTGCCGCAAGAATTCAGCGCTACCAATTTGTCCTGCTACATGTCTCTCACATGGGATCGTGTGAGATTCCAGGGCACTGGCAGCAAACACTACCGCTGAAACTCCGGCCAATGCTGCGCCCAACGAAGATGGATCTGCGACATCCGCCTTCCAGCGAACACGAGTTGTTATCGATCTGGATCTGGGGGCATAACACCTTGCCAAGCTGAACCCTGCTTGCATCTTCGCCGGAGACCTGGTTGTGAACCAACGGTTGTGAACCAACTGGCTTGCTGACAACTTGTAAGTTTCAAAGCATTTCAAAAGCAAGCCTTGTCCAGCATGGTCCAAGTGCCATTTCGTGTCAAAGCCCGAGGTACGGCCAAACCATCGCGGAGTAAAGCCTCGTCATGACTGCTGAAAGCAAACAGACTTGAAAACAATTTGCACGACACACTTCAAATGTGCCTCGACCACCAAGGAACCTGTCCGCCCATTTGCACCCAGAACCGCCACCACAGGCCTGCCCGCACGATCACGACATGGACAACACGCGCCTTCCAAGCAATTGCGTCCTTTTGGGACATGCACGGAAGTGAAATTGGCCAGTGCTTGCATGTTGCGACACACAATTGTTGAACCTCGAACTCTCCACCGCTTGCACTCGCACACGTGCTGGACGGCGCTGCGCACTCTGCTCCCATCGTGTTTGACCGACCCAATTTCCTCACACCATAGCATATGCGTGAACTGTAAGTAGCATCCACAACCTACAACGTCTGTGGCCGCCAAAGCACGCGAGCTTGTGCCCAATATGATGGCAACAGCGAGGACCTGCATTCGCTGGCATGACCAAACATGTGCACTGTGCAAACAAGATCAAGCTCAACCTTTGCGCGTGGCACATTTACACACTCACGTTTTAGTTTGTTTGCTTGGAACCTTATGACCCGACTGACACACTTGAGTGGGTACCTCCGGGCAGATGTACCCTAAAGGTTCGCCTTGCCAACGTAGGTGTTAACGAAAAGCGACACGAATGTTCGGAAATTTCATCGTAGACAACAATATTTTGCCGCTCTTTGCCCACCCAGCTTCTGTTGCGGGTGTAGACATGCCACGGCGCGTGACAGCGGGACCGCTGACATCGTGGTGTCACAGACGTTGTCTTCTGCACAGTATTATCCAAGGCACGGCTGCCATACGGCAGGGCTTTAATCAGGGCTAAGCACAGCCCCTTTAGTGCAGGGCTTGGATAGATCACAGCTTAAACACGAAGAAGCTTGAGCAGCTGCACAAAAACCCAATGGGCGAATGGACTCGGCGTTCACTCTTGGTGTGGGGCACTATCCATCCCGGCCCGTTCTCACAGCGACACATTTTTTTCTGTGCCACACAATTAGAATTCTACTTGGCCAGGTGCCCTGAGCTTCGGAAACATTGAGAAATGCGTTCCCGATGCTGGCAAAACTGTATCCCAGCCGCAAACGGGATGAAACCGGTCCCATGCTGTCACTGGAGTACGGTGCTCCAGCAACAGGTTCAACAAAGCATGGTGCACGGCCCTCCACCGCCATGCAAGACAAAGAATTGGGGTATGGTAGTCAGACCCCCTTCCAAGGGTGGGGAGGCAGCTAATCAAATGCGCAACGCACAGCAGCCGACCGAAGACAGTTCGTCTTCTTGTTGTCCTTATTGGCGATGTCCAAGCTGCTGCTGTTCACCAGCATTGCTTCTCAATGAAAATTCCTTTCCACCATGACCTACTGCAGCCGAAAAACCATTCAGATTCTGAACATGCACGTTGGTATGAAATGCACGGCAAAATTCCTGAACACTGCGCTGGGCCCCAGGCAAGGGGCTACCACGGCGCAGACCATTTTTTTGACGAGAACAAAGGGTTATGATTATGATGTATGGGGGGCGACTCATGCATGAGGACTGAAAACCAACGGATCAACACAACAGGGTGATACCAGATTTGTTGGGCATCGTATCGCAGGCGCTCTGGCAGCACTGCAAACCACATCCCAGGCAGTTTTGACATTTTTGTAGGCCAAGAGTTGGGTTCAGACGCTGCGTGTGGGACAATGCGCGCTGCAAAACAGGACCGCTGTAATCTGAGCAGGCGTGTAATACCTACGCCTATCTTCATTTTTGACCCCCCCCCGCCCATTTATACATTTTTGCTGGGGCATGTATGAAGAGTTGGAAATGTATACTGGGGGCGTGAACGGGGTTCAGGGTCAGCTACCACCTGCCTTAAATCAACCGATTGAGACCCGTAACCACATCAAAAGGAAACAATGGCCACTACAAATTTTAGCGGGCAGGCCATTACCCTGGATTATTTTTTTGTTGGCCGTAGATTATTATATCAATGGTGGTTTCCCTGAAGAATGGGACCCCCATGTAGCCCCACATATTTTATTCCTTATCATAAGGACCGCCAACATGGTAATGTTGCACCCGCTTAGCTTAACCGGAGCTACGCGCAATTGCGCCAAGTTTTTAGCAATTATTCAGCAGTTTTAATTACTAAATATTCTTCAAGAAACAAGGTCAGAGCTTAAGGGTGCCCAATTACGCAAACTTGACTATTGGCTCAGGAACCTGAACAGCCCAGAGGTCAGCTTAAAGGTACCTAATTCCTAAAACCTTACATACGACTAAATCTATAGAGGGGCGGGGTATAAGGTGACCGGTGACAGCATAGAATGGTCATCGCATGCCAGTAGGTCTGTCAATCCTTTTTCACAAACCTTAAACCCCCAAACCCTAAACCTTAGACCCTAAACCCTAAGCCCTGGGCTGCTGTTGTGGTCAGGATTGTGGATTGCAGCAGGTGCACGCTATGAAGCAGCCAAAATGTATAGAGGGGAGGGGTATACCACGTATTTTTTGCCCAGCTCTGCCAGACTTCCATGGTAATGCTTAGAGACATCGCAGAAAAAATCAGGGGGCGAGGAGGAGGTGTATACATTTTGGCTGCGCTACTGGTTCCCGATGCCCGTTTGCCCAATCGCGCTCTTTAGGTAATGTGTACACGACACCCCAACAAAGAATCTGAGGTTTTGTGGTTGGGCGGCGGTCACCTTAAATGGACCCCCAAAAGGCTACCCCAAGAGTGTACCTCTTCAGGTGACCGGCGGCGGTCTGGCCACCCTTTTGTCTCAGGTGCCAGGCCAACCCTTGCCCGAACAGGCCAGGCGGACTCTCCACCTTCCCCTTCGCTTTGGCGGACTCGGCCTACGGTCGGCCGTCGAGACCGCGCCAGCAGCCTATTAGGCCTCCTGGGCTGACAACCTTCCCGCCATCCGCGCGCGCGCGCCTGATATCGCCGCGCGCTTGGCGCAGGACTTGCAAGCCGGCCGTCCCGACTCCCCGGCGCCCTTTGCTGCAGCATGCGGCAGCCTGCCTCTGCGGCCAAGGGTATGCAGCACCTGACTGGGGGGCCATACAGACCGATCAAGCTGCCCATGCAGATCGGGAATTCGGGGACCCAATGCGAGGGTGGCAGCGGTTGGCCACGGCCGCCGGTGACGTGCACGCGCTCGAGTTGCATCTTTCTCACCGATGCCGCATCACGAGCGCTGCTGCTGTCGCAGGCCGGGCCACACGCGGCGCGTGCACTCACGGTCTTCCCGACCTCATCCGAGCTGACCCTGCCCTCGCCACAGTTCCGGATCGTCCTTCTGCGCTGGTTGCGACTGCCCCTGCCTGTCGCTCCACGCGCATGTGCCTGCCGAGGATGCCTGGACCCGCTGGGGGACCACCGCGCAGCATGCGCCAACTCAGGAGTGCTGGCCTCGCGCACGCTGCCTTTAGAGCGAGCTGTCGCGCGTGTCTGCCAAAAGGCCGGGGCTCGCGTTGCCCGCAAAGTACGCCTCGCGGACATGAACATCGATGTTGCGGTCACGGACGACCGCCGCATCGAAGTCGTTGCCAACGGCTACCACTTTGGCACGGCTCGCAGCAGGATGTCGACGTGACCATCGTCAGCCCGGTCACCCGCAACGGGGAGGCGCAACCTGGGGCAGACGTCCAGCCAGGCCGGGCGCTAATTGGAGCAGCCGCGCCAAACGTACCCCGAGCTTGAGCGCGCCCGTCGCTGCCGCTTGGTGGTCGTTGGGGTCGAGGTTGGGGGCCGATTCGGAGCCGAAGCCGCCACTTGGTTGCGGCGGCTGCTCGCGCGCCACAGGGCATCTTCCGCCCCCGCGCCCATGCGGCCCGCAGCACAGTCCGCGTGGGTCGCGCGATGGTCCGGGCGCCTTGCGGTTGCAGTGCACAGCGCCTTCGCGGCCTCGCTGTTGGAGCTCCCGCTGGCGGGGGAGTGCAACGTCGCAGGGGAAGCGCCCGAGCTGCACGAAGTCTTGGCCGACGTGTGCTGGCAGCTCCCCGTCCCTGCCAGCAGGCATGCCGCAGGGCCCCCACTAAAGCCACCGTGCAACCCGTGTTGACAGCACAGGGACCGCGCCGCGGATCGGAAAAAGTTGCGCGCAAAAAAAAAAAAAAGAACCCCCAACATGCTACCTCAGGACTGTACCTTTTAAGGTGACCGAAATATGTCATACTACATACGCAATGCAACCATGCACAAGATTGCACAACCGAAATCGAATCCACTCTATTTCTGAGCCTAGGTTTATGAACCCCCCCCCTGTATACATTCCTGCTCCGCGGGCTGTCCGAAATTGACAAATACGGCCCCCCCCGTATGGCGTGCAGAAGGGCAGGCAGGCCACGTGAGATAACCGCATGGGGGCACGAACTCCAGACCAAAGCATACAGCACGGCGCACGTATGTTCGAAATATTTTTCCCCTAACTGTCATGCCTGCGCGACTAGCTTGATAAAGTCTAGCGCCTTTACACTCGCTCCACGAAAACAATGGCAAAACTGCTGAGTTTGCCCATGAAAAGCATGCAGCCATCGCGCATTCGCCGCTAAAAGCCCGTCAACATAGGATGCCCAGCATAGACGCTCATGCAATGTGACCCGCGAATAAGTGTCAGTGCGCACATGGGGGAGGCTATGCTCACCGACATGGAACTGAACATCGGCGGGTGACGGGGGCGCATTTGTTAGCCATGGGAAGTCTTGCATTCCACATCATCTGGATCGTCGCAGAAAAGCAACAGTTGGGTTGGATGATTGGCTCGGAAAGCAAGACAAGCTCAGAATGCAAGACAGGGTTTCTGCCATCAACCCGGGCATCTCTGCAGTGCGCGTTGTGAAATTCATCCGCTGACCGAGCACCGAAGCCTGATGGTTTGATTTGTGAAACTTTCCTGGTCGATGACGATGCTTTTTTTGTTCCTCGGACCTTTAGTGCCCGGTTCGGCGCAACAGGGCATAGAGCTCCCCGCCTTGGGCAAAACCGGCGTTCGCCAACAGAACTCCATCCACGCCTGGCATATAGACCTGGCATCAAACGATTTGCTCGCCTCCTTCCGCCTGCTCGACTGTGTGGGCCCCCCCCATCCGCGTCATCGTAGAGGTATGTACGTTGCACGCCGTAAAAGAGGCGGACGAACAGGATGAGGGACGCCAACCGCGCATCCCGCCTCAAGCCTTCGCAAATGGCGATCCGGGCAATGATCATAGGTGCCAATGCC